TTACATCAGGTAAGCAAGATTATTTATTTTATCATGTAACACAAGCAATCAAACCAACATTAGTCATTCTAAGTTGGTGCTTTGAAGAAAAACAGACATGCAGCGCAACATGATAATTAACAGAAAACAAAGATGAGAACGCACATCCTTTCTGTAAACAACACAAAACTTTTGCCTAGCATCTTCTGATCATTCTGCCAGGCTTTTGAACAAATGTGCATTGGCTAAATCACATAATACACACGCTTATAATTCTTCATAAATGAAAAGAACATTCAAATATAAGCCTTTACTGTTAAATGCGATTGCCGTTATTATTGAATTTCATTAGTCCCAGTTTTGATTTATGCACGGCTGTTCATGGAAAAGTGAGCAAGACACCACAGTTACAATATCATGATTATGGTTAAATAAGAAAAGACAACCAAATCAGGCTACATTCATACTAAATATCTCAACACACATAATTGGATATGACATTGAGCGCAACTTGTGTAGATTAATTTAGTAAAACAGGCATGACTGCTTTCTTTGGTGTATATTTGTATACTTATACTATCTAATCAATCTCAGCATGCGTTAATTTTGTGTCGCTATACGTTTGCCTATAAGGCTAAATTATGCCTAAGTCTTTCTTTGGCCTGCGCTCTGGAAGTTATCTGTTAATTCTGCTAAACTTTAATTAAAACTGAAACTAAAACTGAAACTAAACTATATAAAAACTAAATAAAAATGTGTTCACAAAATAAAAACTAAACTAAAACTGACCAAAATATTAATGAAACTGATAAAAACTAAACCGAATTTTATAGCAAATTTGAAAACGATATTAAAATAAAACGAATTTAAAAATTCAAAACTATGATAACCTTTATATTTCACTCAAAGTGAAATATATCAAATGTAAATGAGGTTGTGTTATCACGCAGCGTGGACTGATGTGATAAGACGGCATGTTGTGTGTATTGCCCTTGTGTGTGCACACTTATTTGTGTGTGGGCTGGAGGACGATACAAGAGGGCTCAGCTGCTGCTTAAACTCTAGTTGGCAAACATGGCCGGTGGTGCAGTATGTACGTTAGGTCTTCGGTTTTGTGTGTGTGCTCGATCCATATGTGACCATTTCTGTCTTTGTCTGATAGAATGCAGATCATTTCACTCTGGATAGCGCCAGCCTGGAGGACGGCAAGGGAAAGTGCCCCTACGACCCCGCCAAGGGTCATACAGGCCTCATTGTTGGTGAGTCACACGTTTCCGACATGCAAAAACCTGCATTATTATTCTTGTGTCTTGTGTGTGGGTGTCCTTTTGTGTTCGTGCAGCCTGTGGATGCATTTATGCCTCCTCTCTTCCCACACTCGGGAGAGAATGGAGTCCCTCTTTAATATCTCATAGCCATGAGGCTGTAGACAGGAGTGCGTGCATGTGCGCCTGTTCCCGCTCTAAGCGTTCTTCTCCTTTCTTAGACAAAGAGTTGTACTCTGCCACCCTCAATAACTTTCTGGGCACAGAGCCCGTAATCCTGAGAAACCTGGGACAACAACATTACAGCATGAAGAGTGAATACCTACCGGCTTGGCTCAACGGTGAGTCTGAAAACACATACATACACAAAATATATGTCATGCCTCTGCTGCACAGAGCAGCTTATGTTGTCCTGGTGCACATGGATGACCAGCTTTACCAGCACCAGAACAGTCAATAAACCATGTTGCTTCATCAAACATGGAGTACTGAGTTTTCTGTATTCAGTTGTTGGTAACTTAATGCGATCCTACATTATCTGAATTCAGCCTGTTGGCATATATAAATATAATTTATCGATTTACAAACTCTACATAAAAATATAAAAATATATAGTATTTAAAAATTTAAATTGTTACAGCATTTATTAACTCATAGAATAAACCTTGTTGCTTCTTCGGACATGGATTACTGAGTTGTTGGTGACTTGACACAATCCTGTATCGTTTCATTCTCCAAAACTCATCGCTGAGTCGTTGTCATAGCAACAGGTCCATAAGCTCAAACCTGGTTTGTTTAATGGAAACAGGATTAGATTTTGGCTGTTAAAATCTGTCCCAGCCTCTGCATCGTTCTTGTGAGCGCACCCTGTTGTACCAGAGGATGGAATAATGTAGTATATTATAATTCTTTTAATAATAGCCTAATTTAAATTAAAATAATCATATTGTTGACAATAATAGGCATAGCTGTTTTACTCAATGTATAGTAATAATTTCCCTCACATTAGCTGTGCTCACATTTCTCTGATCTGTGCATTAACTGCAGCGCAGACATTGTGTGCTGGTCTTTGGTTCTTTGTGTTCTCATCAGCTCAGGAGATGCTGTCTGTCGTGCCATTAGAAAAGTGTACCTAGTGTTCTTACATAATAAGAAATCATTTATGATTTTTGTTGTTTCCCGTCCACATTTCCGGCTTTTAAAAAGAGCTTTTATGTGTTAAGTTCACCTTGGATGCATTAGCAACTGACAGAAAAATAAAGAAACACATGTAACCTGTAGTACTGCAAGGGAAATGAAAATGTAAATATAATGTAACAGTTAAATATTTACACGTTTAATTAATCCCCAACTTTCAGCCAGCTCTTTCTCCTTGTAGTTGCCTTGGCAGTGTTTTGTTGCTCTTTTAGGTCCAGAAATTCCTGGTAAACTTTAAAAATGGTAAATAGTGACGAGATGTGTAGCCAAGTATGGTGTCCCATACTCAGAATTTGTGCTCTGCATTTAACCCATCCAAGTGCACACACACAGCAGTGAGTAGTGAACACACACCCAGAGTAGTGGGCAGCCATTTTTGCTGTGGCGCCCGGGGAGCAGTTGGGGGTCCAGTGCCTTGCTCAAAGGTCTCACCTCAGTCATTGTATTGAGGGTGGAAGAGAGTACTGTACATTCGCTCCCCCACCTACAATCCCTGCCGGTACCAAGACTCGAACCTGCGACCTTTGGGTTACAAATCCATTATACCATTATATTATATTATATTATATTATATTATATTATATTATATTATATTATATTATATTATATTATATTATATTATATTACATTACATTATATATGCTACCGTTCAAAAGTTTGGGGTCAGTAAAAAAATTTTACAAGATATGCATATTTGTATTCAGGAAGAACACATTAAATTGATAAAAAATGACAGCACAGACTTTCACATTGTTACAGAAGGTTTCTTTTTCAAATAAATGCTTGAAATTCAAAGAATCCTAAAAACAAAATACCATGTTTCACACAAAAATATTAAGCAGCACAACTGTTTTCAACACTGATAATAGTAATAAATGTTCCTGAGCATTTAGCATATTAGAATGATTTCTGAAGTATCATGTGACACTGAAGACTGGCGTAATGATGCTGAAAATTCAGCTTTGCATCACAGAGATAAATGATAAAATATGGTAGTCTTTATTACATAAGTGAATGTATTCATATTGTCTATATGCACATATTCATATATAAAAAATTAATTGACATATTTCTATTTTTTAGTATATTGTCTCAAAGACTCATTCCAGGTGTGCTAATCAAATCCAACCATGTGTCTTAAGAACCGAATCAGCCAGAGAGGAATTACCACAATTAAAATATCTGGTCTACAGCGTATTATCTCAGATAATACAGTATTATGCGATGTACAAGTAACATGGTTACTCCGCAGGGTTAATCCGAAATTAGCTCAATAAACAATGTCCCAAGGTGGAAGCCCAAGATCTTTAATCTGTTCATCAAGTAACCATCAGCTCCTTATCAGTTAAGCGCTGTGTCCTCAATTCTAACACATCCTTCCATATCTTTCCCTGTTGTCTGGTACAGAGCCAAACTTTGTGGGTTCGGCATTGGTCCGGGAGAGCCGCAACAGTAAAGATGGAGACGATGATAAGATCTACTTCTTCTTTAGCGAGAGAGCAGTGGAGCTGGACTGCGACAGCGATCTGACAGTGGCACGGGTGGCACGTGTGTGTAAGGTGAGAGCATTTAAAGTATATGACCAGAAGGTTGTCGAGTAAATTTAGCTCTAGGGCGAATGTACCTTTATGAAGTGTCCTGCAAGCCACTTTGAAATAAAAGGTCTGTTGAATGGCTTCTTGTTTCACTTTTCAGGGAGACCTGGGAGGCACACGGACTCTACAGAAGAAGTGGACCACCTTTCAGAAAGCTCGGCTGATGTGTTCTTTCCCCGAGCGCCACATCACCTTCAATAACCTGCGTGCTGTCTTCACCTTGCCCGGGGCGGACTGGAGGAGCACTAGCTTCTATGGCATCTTTCACGCGCAGTGGTGAGCGAACCCTCCTGCCATGCCAGTCCGTGTCATAAATATTTCTCTCTCTTCCACTTACTGTCATAGTTGTGAAAGTCGCTCTGTCCTCTGCTTGTATAAAAGTGTCACCATGCCAAACATCCAGCCGTGTTCGTCAAGTGAAGAAAATGCTGCACTGTCATTATGTTGACAGTAAGGCTATTACTGTAATAAACCAGCCAGTGTAGCGCAGTCATTTAGTTCAGACTGACTGACTACTTTTTCCTCTCTTTTTCTTCATCCTTTACTCTCTCTCAGGGGGGATGTGGATGTGTCTGCTGTGTGTCAGTACCAGATCGGAGAGGTGAAAAATGTGTTCGACGGGCCGTATAAGGAATACAGGGAGTCGTCTCAGCGATGGGGCCGATACACTGGCACCGTGCCCAGTCCACGACCTGGAGCGGTGAGCTTAGCAGCCGTTGTGATGGGAGACCGAGAGGGCGTCCGTGACTAAGCAGTCGGCTAAATATAGATTTTTGTACATACAGTAATTTTTCACCCCATAAATCAGAACTTAATGAGTGTCCTGTTGGATTACAACATTTTAGAAATATCTTATCAAAGATTTTGAGTGAGAGTATGTAAAAAACAAAGTTTGTCGAAAAGGTGATTTGGAAAACTCTTTTGTGTAACTTTGGAAAAGGGGTATAGTGATGTTTACCAGGGTTCTGGGTCATTCATAACTGAACTGAAAATACCATTTACAAATATTTACAAACATTTTTTTTTTTACTTTAGAACAAACACTTAATTTAGCAGGAACACATAAAATTGATTAAAAGAGAAAGTAAAGACTTTGACATACTTTTACAAAAACCCACACACACATACTGTACATATATATATATATAACATTTTCCCCACATAAATGCTGTTCGTTTGAAATTTTTTATCCAGAAAAAAATGTATCATGCTTTCTACAAATATTAAGCTGCACAGTTGTTTTCAACATGGATGATAATAAGAAGAAATATTTCTTGAGCAGCAAATCAGCATATTAGAATGATTTCTGAAAGATCATGTGACACTGAAGACTGGAGTAATGATGCTGAAAATCATGCAGCTTTGCTATTACTTAAATAAATTCTATACCCTGTATATTAAAATGGAAAACAGTTATTTTAAATTGTAATAATGTTTATAATATTACTGTTTTTGCTGTATATTTGATCAAATAAGTGCAGCTTTGGTGAGCAAGAGAAAAAAATCTTATGATTGCAATCAGGATGCTTGTAGTTGAATTTACATGAATTTAAAATGAAAGAGAAATTTATATTGCTTTTTTATCTAAAATTCAAAAAAGGTTTGCTTTTCTAGTTTATATATCTCATCACATTAACTTTTATACAATATAACTTTTATTGACCAAGGCAGAAGAACACTTCATTTCCCATAATTCTTTCTTCTTCCTTCTATTTCAATTCATAGTTCCTGTGGGGTGTATTTTAAATTGTATGATGTTGTTTAAAAAAAATACTTGTCATATACAATCTCAGAAATAAAGGTACAAAAGCTTTCACAAAGGTACAAACATGTACCTTTTGAAAAGGTACTGCCCCAGTGACAGATTTTGTACCTTTATTTTTGAGAGTGTATGGTGTGCTGTATTAAGTTAAATAAAAATCCCTAATCAGTTAAAAATACTTTTCTTTCCTGATCTTTCCACAGTGCATTACAAACTTTGACAGGGAAAACGGCTACAACAGTTCTCTACAGCTGCCTGACGCTACGCTAAACTTTGCCAAGAAGCATCCGCTAATGGAAGACCGGGCTGAAGCTCGGCCCCTGCTGCTTACTAAAGGGATCAACTTCACCCGAATAGCTGTGGACAGAGTGAGCTCACTGGACCAGAGATCCTACAGCATGCTCTTCATAGGCACAGGTATGTTATTGAAAGTGAAAGACGTAAATGGATTAATGTACGAAACATTACATGGCCAATAAAAGCAGTATTTCTTCGTCAAGAGGGTTATTTGACAGTTTCCTGCATCGTCTTCCTTGTTCCTTTGTCCTTTTTTGCACAAGTGTGAATAGAGCAGCCAAAGAAACCATTTTATTAGCCATAATGTTATATCCAAGTGGGAAAGTCACCCCCGCCAATTCATTCCTGTCATGCAGGAAGGTCAGTCCTTCAAATAAAAACTGAAAAGATGTATTTGGCCTTGGTAATATCACATAAACACACTCACACTCAAGGCTCAACCATGTGCATCTCTTTAAAGCATCCAATGAATCCAGTATTGCACCAATTTTGCCATTTTGTAATAATTATTCTGAAGTATTCTTCATCATATTAAACAACATATTAATTAAGAGACTTTATGAATGTTATTATAAAAGTTTTATTATAAAACAAATGCTTTAAAATATATTTTTAAACTTTAAAAAAATTTTCATGTCTCAAGACTATTTAAAATAACTAGTTTAAAAAAACGGGAACAAAGGATTCTCCACCCGGCCCTCCTCCGGGGGAAGGAGTGGTGCGGTCACCATCTCTTGAAGAGCAGGATCCAAGAACTCCGGGTCGCCCGTCCCAGGGACGCCGCCTGCCCTGGCGCTTCATGGGCTTGGCAGGGGCGGAGGCGGGCTGCGCCGGTTTCCTGCGGCCAGCTCCACGCTGCGGCCGTTGTGAAGGCTGCTGCTGTGGCCGCGCCGGAGCGGAGGTGGAGGCCACAGGAGGGTGCCCTCGGCGACGAGTAGACAGAGGGGCTGCAGCCGGCGGTGGGGTGGAGACAGCAGCAGACCGCCGGGGCAGGATGTGTCGAAACGCCTCCGTCTGCTTCTGCGCGGCGGAGAACTGTTGGGCAAAGCCCTCCACCGCTTCGCCGAATAGGCCGGCCTGGGAGATCGGGGAGTCCAGGAAGCGATGCTTGTCGGCCTCCCTCATTTCCGCCAAGGTCAGCCATAGGTGGCGCTCCTGGACCACCAATGTGGACATCGTCTGACCCAGGGCCCGCGCTGTGACTTTCGTCGCCCTAAGCGCGAGGTCCGTCGCAGTGCGCAGTTCCTGCAGCACACCTGGGTCAGCACCACCCTCGTGCAACTGCTTCAACACCTTGGCCTGGTGGACTTGCAGGAGGGCCATGGCGTGCAGGGCGGAAGCAGCCTGTCCAGCAGCACTGTAAGCCTTAGCCGTCAGAGCGGACGAGCACTTACAGGCCCTGGACAGAAGGCGTGGACTACCCCTCCAGGCGGCGGCGCTTTGCGGGCAGAGCTGCATCGCAATAGCGCGCTCGACTGGGGGGATGTCCACATACACTTGGGCCGCGCCACCGTCGAGGGTGGTGAGGACGGAGGAGG